TCCTCCCCCTCCTCCTCTCCCTCCTCCTCCCCCTCCAGCTGCGGCGGCGGCCGCCCTGCCGCTGGAGCCCCGCTCGGTTCAAGATGAGTCATGCGTGACCAATCCCCTCCCCGCCAAGGGAGAGCGAGACACACACAGCGAGGCAGCGACCCAGAGACACACACACAGTCATATAGACACACAGAAACTCAGAGCCGCCGACAGAAAGACTGAGACACGCTGACATACAAAGGCACCGGCAGGCACACATCCACGCAGCTCTCACCCTGCCCCTCCCTCAAGGGGCACCCATAGGCCTCAGGCACAGCCCCACTCACAGATACAAGATGGACCCATGGTCACACACCCTCAGCGGAGATGGATTCCTACAAAGTCACACATGATGCTGTGTTGATGCCATCCCACACCTGGTACATTCGTATACACGCTGAGGCAAATGATGGCCCGTTCATATCATTTGCAGGAGCACAGACATCCACACATAGCCTCGCACACCTGCACAGAGACCTCTGCTTCATAACAACCACAGGGTGTACCTGCTCCTACCCAATGAATGGGATTGGGCTGGGTGAGAGAAGAGGGTTCCTGGCTGGGGTCAGGTGGGGAATGTTCCCCTGAATTCTTCTGGGAGGGATTGCCCGGGACACCCTTCTTCCCTTTGGGATGTGCTGAGCCATCCAGTCTAGTGTCCATCTCACCTTCTCTGGGGCTCTACTGATAATGAGAAAGGTGGGAAAGGCAGGGAGGCCCAGGCAGTGGGATAGGAGACACAGCCCCCAAACACAGAGACACGAAACTCTCAGGCTCAAAGACAGAGCCTTACGCACACTAACACCTTACAACATACGCACACAAGTGGCCACTCACAACCTCAGCACCCTTCTCCACAAACAAACCGAGCCTAGAGAGACATGTATAAATATACATCCTCTTCTAAAAACAAATAGGCACACTCAGATCCAGTCCTATAGATACCACAACGCTCCACCTCTGTGCCATCACACATACCATTACTTCCCTAATTGCTCTCATTTACAAATGTAAACACCCCGCACAAGTGTTCTTACACTTGTACACACATCCATACTTGAGAGCACAGACTCTCACAGTGCTCTAAAGCCATGTAAAACCTCCTGTCCCTTACAGATATGCACACACATCCCTACAGATGGCAAAATAACCATTTATAGACAGAAACAGCATGCCAATATCCACAGACACAGGAGTCCCGGCCGTCACAGACTCAGTCATGTACACACATAGGCACATCCTAGCAGACAAGAGTAGACACGGGTGTCTGCACACCGGCATCCCTGAAAAAATACAAATATCTGTTCCCTTACAGACACCAAGGTATGTAGAAATAGCCCCAGCCCCAGCCCAAGCCAATGGCATCTCCCACCCCCCTGCATTTCAGTCATTTATGGCTCTGAGACACAGAAATTCAGAGTGAAGTTTCTCTCTGAACCCTAATCTTTTATACTGAGCACAATTGCAATGTGGAAGCTTATGAAGTGTGTGCATTTCCACAGGCACGTGCACACACATCCACACGCACCCTCAAATATCCACATGACCCCAGACAAACAACCTCTCCCCTTCAAATGTCTCTTTTGCACATAATAAACCCAGCGAGTGTTCCTGAGTACTTTAATCCATGACTGGCTTAGCATCTTACAATCATGACTTCATTTTCTTTTCACAATATTCTTATGAGGTGGTATCTTGTGCTGTACTCATTTTGCTGATGAAGAAACTGAGGTTCAGAGAGATCATGCGAGATGTCCAAAATGGTGCCACATGGCTAATTACCAGAGCCAAGAACTCAAAACCAGATTCATCTAACATCAGAGCTTATACTCTCGAATTCTAGGCTACATGTATGACCATGTATACTCTCTGTATATACACACAGGTGCACACACATTTTTCTTTTCATTCGTCGAAAAACCTGGGCATGACTTCTGGCCTCACCATTTATGAGCCAAGCTTGTTTTCTCATCTGCAAAATAGGAATAATTATAGGACAACCTTTATCTCTTCTCCTCCCCTTCTGGGCGGCTGGGGGAAGCGGGAGGTCATTGGACATATTCAGTGCTGCACATCTGCCAGCTGTGTGAGTGCCGAAGAATTCCAGAAAAGGAGAAGCCCATAAGGATGGCACTAGCTTTGCAAAACTACTCAGGGAGGGGATGGGGAAGAGGCTTGAGCTGAAACTAGAGGGCAGATGAACTTCGGGTGGATTCAGGGGAGAAAAGGAAGTATTCCAGGTAAAGAGATGACTGCAAAGTTTCAGAGGCTAGACAAAAGCTGTGGCACTCCTATGAGAAGGACTGCGAAGCATCCACCCTCTGAATGGTGACAAGAATAACATAACTACCGTTTATTGAGCATTTATGCGCCAAGCACTGTTGTACCTGCGTTATCCGCTAGCTCTCCCAGCAACCCTGCAAGGAGGTTATATTACTGCACTTATTTTATAGTTGAAGAAACGAGCTTATAGGAGCCTCATTTCAAGCTCTAGCACTCAGACTCCAGAACCCACACTCTTATCTGCTGTGCAATCTGTTCCTCGATTTTGATTAGGGGCTCAGAAAATCAAAACTGGAATAAGAGGCATTAAACTCCAGTGGTGAAGCATGAAGACGCTAAAGCCAGACTGCCGTGGTGCCCACCTTGGCACTGCTCTTACGATGGACAGTTTATTCAGCCATTCTTCAGTCTCAGCTTCCTCAATTTGTAAAGTGCAGATAACAGAGTTCACTTCTTACGCTTGTGCAAATTAAGCACATGATCCATGCAAAAGGGCTCAGAACCATCCCTGGCATGCTGAAAGCGGCCAATAAATATTAGCCATCATTACAATGTGGACTGGCTACATTATTCCGTTATTATTCCACTAGGTGCCACTTCAAATATTTTATGGAGGAAGGCAGGACATAAATCAACCAAATAATCAAATATTTTCCTGAATAACTTACCTAAGGAAGCTGCAGAACCATTATTCCAACCCAGGGCTTGCCTAACTTCAAAGAGGACAGAAATGAAATTACTTT